CTCTTCATGGGCAGCCATGCCCAAATATAGTAATTTCGTCCAAAATTTCATCAAACCCTTCAAATTCAACTCCAAGAAAGGTATATATCTATATAGACGTGTTTGTGCATATTTATAGATGTGTTTGTGCATATTTATTCGGTCAATTACTATTATATTTGTTTGGCCTGAAAAAAGCGGGATCGGAACTGGATGGGCGTGCCAGGAACTGCAGTAGTTCCAAAGAGAGATCCAAACAATATTCTAGAAGGAAGACTGCGGGACTAGACGATTGCGAAGAGGTCTGGAATGACCACCTCTGGGTTCTTTTTGCCTTTGATAAAGGACTTCGGGATTGTTAACTGGCTAGGAAGAACTGAGCTACTTGAGAAAGTAATTGACTGAAAAGTAAGATTATCTAGTGAAAAGTAGTGCAAGACTGAAACTAATCATATTAAAAGTGTATTGCAATGAGAAGTAAAGTTGTATTGAAATGCGTTTTTGGCGTTGAGCCATTTCTAAGTTACAATATCATGCCTTATTTATAGAGTTTAGTAATAGTAGCTTGCATGCAACCGCTCGCTTCCTAAGCTTCCATGTGTCCCATGACTTTGCATATAACTACTTGTAACCGCTTGCTTCTTTACTTGCCATGTGTCCTAAGACTTTTCACTGGAACATCGTAATACCTTTCCATTGGACCAACCAGCTTCTTAGGCTGCCATGTGTCCCATGACTTTGCATGCAACTGCTTGTAACTGCCCACTTCTTTGGATGTGTCCCATGACTTTGCATGTAACCACTTATAACCACTTACTTGCTAGACTGCCATGTGTCCTATGACTTTGTATGTAACCGCTTGCTTCCTTGGCTGCCATGTGCCCCAAGACTTTCCACTGGAATGTCGTAATAACTTTCCATTGGAATCGACCAGCTTCCTAGGCTGTCATGTGTCACATGACTTTGCATGTAACCGCTCACTTTCTAGGCTGCCATGTGTCCCATGACTTTGCATATAATCACTTGTAACCACTCACTTCCTAGGCTGCCATGTGTCCATGACTTTGCATGTAACCACTTGTAACCGCTTGCTTCCTTGGCTACCATGTGTCCCAAGACTTTCCACTGGAATATGGTAGTACCTTTCCATTGAAATCGACCAGGGTAATCTCCTACTGGAAAGTGGAAAATAAGGGTGTAAACAATATTCACTCTTGTTTCTTTGCTCTGTCACTTGATTAATCAGAAGAACGAGATGAAGAAGACTTGGAAAAGATCGCAGCAAAAGAACAGAAGTAATTCCATTTTGAAACCCTAGTTTCTGCAACCAAAGATTTCCACTCTAATCACAAGCTTGGGGAAGGCAGGTTTGGTCCTGTATACAAGGTAATTGCTAGTCATATATAAATTGGCTCAATCATAGTCATTGAAAACTTGTATACATACATTCATACATTTTCAGAGATGCACAAACACGTAAATAATTGTCCACATTGAGGATAATGCTAGGAGAAAGGGAGTGTTGACAAATTTGGAGTTTCAAATTTGGAATTGGCTCAAAATATGTCATCGCTTACATCATCAGTTGCATATGTCATCGCTTACAACAGCAGTTGCATATGTCATCGATTACCTCAGGCTTTGCATATGTCATCGCTTACATCAGGCTTTGCTTACATCATTGCTTACATCATTAGGGAGATTTGTTGGCTATAAATAAACCTTGTATCTCATAGTTCATTCATTCGAAAATCATCCAAGAGCATTCAAGTGAGCAAAGAGAGTTTAGAGAAAATAATATTTATTTTATCATTTGTGAGCCTTTTGTAACCCTTTGGGTTTTGATATTAGTACATTGATCTTGAGCTCCCATGGACGTAGGCACATTGCCGAACCACGTAAATCTTTGTCTTCCTTTTGTGTGTGTGTTTTCTCCTATTTATTATTTTGTGAGTGTATTTTTCTTGTGGGTACGATCACAACCACCATTATTTATTTGTTGGGCCCACACTTCTGCACAACAATTGGTATCAGAGCACCATGGTTCTGTTCTTTTCGGTGATCATGATAATTGAAAAAGAAGATGGCAACCGCAAAATTTGATATTGAAAAATTTGATGGGCGCAACAACTTCAGCATGTGGCAATGCGAAGTTAGGGATGTTCTGACTCAACAAGATTTAGGCACTGCTCTGGGGAAGGAGAAACCAAAAGAAATGAAGGAACAAGACTGGAAAAAGATCAATTGTAAGGCTTGTGGTCAAATTCGGCTTTATCTCGGAAAGGATCAGAAATATCCTTTCATGCATGAAGTTTCAGCAGACAAGCTTTGGACGCAACTGGAGGAGAAGTATATGACAAAGAGCATTGAAAATCGGCTCTATTTGAAGAAGAAGCTCTTTCGGTTTGATTATAAAGAAGGTATGTCTATGTCCAAGCATCTAGATAATTTTAACAAAATTCTTGCTGATTTGCAAAATTTGGATGTTAAAATTGATGATGAAGATAAATCATTATTATTGTTAAACTCTCTACCTGATTCATATGAACATTTGACTACCATACTACTGTATAGAAAAGAAGAAATTAAATATGTTGATGTCTCTAATACCCTCATGAATAATGAGCTTCGCAAGAAGGATAAGGAGGTTAATAGAGACTCAACAGCTGAAGCTCTAACAATCGTGGTAGAACAGATCAGAAAAAGTCTGGTAGCTATGGAAGATCTCAACCCAGATCAGGAGGAGCATCAACTTTGGGCAAGAAAAATCTTGCCAAAGATGAATGTGCCTTTTGTTATAATAAAGGGCATTGGAAGAAGGATTGTCCAAAATTGAAAAACAAGGATGACAAGAAGATTGCCGCCAACATTGTTAACAGTGACGATGAAGCTGCAGAGTTTGCTTTGACTGTATCAGTTGGATCTAATTCTCATGATGCATGGATCTTGGATATGGGTTGTTCCTATCACATGTGTCCCAACCGGGAGTGTTTCTCCAGTTTCCAGGACCTGGATGGTGGAGCTGTTTTCATAGGTAATGATCATGCCTGTCAAAGAAGGGGGATAGAAAAGATCCGTTTGAAGTTGCACAATGGAACAGTTAGAGTTCTCGAAGATGTCCGGTATGTACCGAATTTGAAGAAAAATCTCATTTCACTTGGATCATTGGCAGCAAAAGGTTATGGGATCACGCTGAAAGGCGAGGGTCTAAAGGTGACCTATGGAGCTCTAGTTGTGATGAAGGGTACAAAGAAGAGTAACTTGTATTTTCTCCTTGGAAATACAGTTATAGGCACAACAGCTGTTGCAGACAGTTCAAAGAGAGATGCATCAGATGCTACCAGATTGTGGCATGTACGCTTGGGACATGCAGGTGAGAAGGCTTTGCAGGGGCTAGTGAAGCAGGGTCTATTGAAAGGTGCCAAGACCTGCAAGCTTGGATTTTGTGAACATTGTGTTCTGGGCAAGCATACAAGAGTTAAGTTTGGCACAGCAGTACACCGCACAAAGGGAATACTTGATTATGTTCACACAGATGTTTGGGGACCTACCAGAGTTGCATCTTTGGGAGGTAAGCATTGGTTTGTCTTATTTGATGATGACTTTTCTAGACGAGTATGGGTGTACACCATGAAACATAAAGATGAAGTCTTAAAAGTGTTTTTGAAATGGAAGAAGATGATGGAGACTCAGACTGGCAGAAAAATCAAAAGACTCAAATCCGATAATGGCGGTGAATACACATCGGACCCATTCTTGCAAGTATGCCAGGACGAGGATATTGTTCGACACTTTACAGTCAGAGACATGCCACAACAGAATGGGGTGGCAGAACACATGAATCGAACCTTGTTAAAAGAGGTTAGATGTATATGGGTGTATACCATGAAACATAAAGATGAAGTCTTAAAAGTGTTTTTGAAATGGAAGAAGATGATGGAGACCCAGACTGGCAGAAAAATCAAAAGACTCAGATCCAATAATGGCGGCGAATACACATCAGACCCATTCTTGCAAGTATGCCAGGACGAGGGTATTGTTCGACACTTTACAGTCAGAGACACGCCACAACAGAATGGGGTGGCAGAACACATGAATCGAACCTTGTTAAAAAGGGTTAGATGTATATGGGTGTATACCATGAAACATAAAGATGAAGTCTTAAAAGTGTTCTTGAAATGGAAGAAGATGATGGAGACCCAGACTGGCAGAAAAATCAAAAGACTCAGATCCAATAATGGCGGTGAATACACATCAGACCCATTCTTGCAAGTATGCCAGGACGAGGGTATTGTTTGACACTTTACAGTCAGAGACACGCCACAACAGAATGGGGTGGCAGAACGCATGAATCGAACCTTGTTAAAAAAGGTTAGATGTATATTGTCCAATTCTGGATTGGGCAAAGCATTTTGGGCTAAGGCTGTGACATACGCATGTCATCTCATCAACAAGTTGCCTGCAGCTGCGAATGAGGGCAAAACGCTCATGGAGGTATGGTTTGGGAAACTTGCTACCGATTATGATTTTCTGCGAATTTTTGGTTGTACTGCCTACTTTCATGTTAAAGAGAGTAAGTTGGATCCTAGAGCCAAGAAAGCTATATTCTTAGGCTATAGTGAAGGCGTAAAAGGGAATAGACTTTGGTGCCCCGAGTTGAAGAAAATCATTAATAGCAGGGATGTTACATTTAATGAGTCTTCTATGCTGAAAAGTTCTTCTACAGAGAATAGGACCAAAGAAGTTTCGCAGCAGGTAGAGCTTGAGGCTCTAATTGTTCCAGCTAGACCTGTCAGTAACTCAGATGATGAGGAAACAGGTACAGATGAGGAGGAGGCTCCTACCTAAGAGTCTCCACAGCAACCATATTCTATTGCAATTGGTAGATCAAAAAGAGAATAAAGAAACCTGCATGGTTTACTGATATGGTGGCATACGCACTACCCATAGTTGATGATGACATCCCATCTACCTATGCAGAAGCTGTCAGAAGTTCAGAAAGTGTAGATTGAAAGAAAGCAATGGACGAGGAGATGCAGTCTCTTTATATGAATCAGACTTGGAAGTTGGTCCAGCTTCCAAAGGAGAAGATGGCGATTGGGTGCAAGTGGGTATACACCAAGAAAGAAGGTTCTTCAGGGCAAGACAGTGTGAGATTTAAGGCTAGATTGGTGGCGAAAGGCTACGCGCAAAAGGAAGGGATTGATTATAATGAGGTATTTTCACCTGTTGTAAAACACTCTTCTATTCGAATTTTACTAGCTTTGGTTGCACAGTTTGACCTCGAGTTAGCTCAAGTCGATGTCAGAACTGCCTTCTTACACGGAGATTTGGAGGAGGAGATCTATATATCTCAGCCAAATGGATTCAAGGTTGCTGGTAAGGAAAATTGGGTTTACAAACTGAAGAAGTCGTTGTATGGGTTGAAACAAAGTCCAAGGCAGTGGTACAAACGATTTGATCAGTTCATGAAAAGGCAGCAGTACACAAGAAGCCATTTTAATCACTGTGTGTATTTTCGTAAGCTTCGTGATGGATTATTTGTATATTTGCTCTTATATGTTGATGATATGTTGATTGCATCTAAGAACAAAGTTGAAATTGATAAGTTAAAGATTCAGTTAAGTACTGAGTTTGAAATGAAGGATCTTGGTGAAGCTAAGAAGATACTTGGGATGGAGATTAAAAGAGATAGAATGAAGGACACTGTTTGTTTATCTCAGAAGCAATATTTGAAGAAGGTGCTACATCAGTTTGGTATGAACTTGAATACTAAACCTATAAGTACCCCTTTGGCCCCTCATTTTAAGATTAGTGCTTTCATTATCTCCATGCATAGATGAAGAGCGTGCGTAAATGGCTCATGTTCTGTATGCGAGCGCAGTTGGAAGTTTAATGTATGGAATGGTGTGAACGAGACCCGACATTTCACAGGCCGTTAGTATGGTGAGCAGGTATAAGCATGACCTAGGTAAAGGTCATTGGCAGGCAGTGAAATGGATTCTATGGTACATCCATGGTACTGTAGATGTTGGTTTAAAATTTGAGCGGGATGATAGACTTGGTCAGCATTTGGTTGGATATGTGGATTCAGACTATGCTGGTGATTTGGATAAACGTCGGTCAACTATAGGTTATGTGTTCACACTTGTTAAAGGACTGGTGAGTTGGAGGTCAATATTACAGCCTACAGTTGCTTTGTCTACAACAGAGGCAGAGTAAATGGCAGTGACAGAGGCCATTAAGGAAGCCGTATGGCTACATGGGTTGATTGAGGACTTGGGGATTCTTCAGGAGCATGTTGATGTCTACTGCGATAGTTAAAGTGCTATTTATTTGGCAAAGAACCAGGTTCATCATTCACGTACAAAACACATCGATGTCCGTTTCCATTTTGTTTATGAAATTTTGGATGAAGGCGATATTCTTCTTCAGAAGATTGGGACTACAGATAATCCCGCAGATATGCTGACGAAGGTTGTAACGAAGGTCAATTTTGAGTATTGCTTAGACTTGATTAACATCCTGCGAGTATGAGCGCTTTTGGGCGCAATTGGAGGCAGTTCAAGATTATGTTTGAAAAGGTGTATAGAATTTTTCGCCAAGGTGGAGATTGTTGACAAATTTGGAGTTTCAAATTTGGAATTGGCTCAAAATATGTCATCGCTTACATCAGCAGTTGCATATGTCATCGCTTACCTCAGGCTTTGCATATGTCATCGCTTACATCAGGCTTTGCTTACATCATTGCTTACATCATCAGGGAGATTTGTTGGCTATAAATAGACCTTGTATCTCATAGTTTCATTCATTCGAAAATCATCCAAGAGCATTCAAGTGAGCAAAGAGAGTTTGGAGAAAATAATATTTATTTTCTCATTTGTGAGCCTTTTGTAACCCTTTGGGTTTTGATATTAGTACATTGATCTTGAGCTCCCGTGGACGTAGGCACATTGCCGAACCATGTAAATCTTTGTCTTCCTTTTATGTTTGTATTTTCTCCTATTTATTATTTTGTGAGTGTATTATTCTTGTGTGTGTGATCACAACCACCATTATTTATTTATTGGGCCCACGCTTCCGCACAACAGGGAGGACCAAAGTTAACATGGTTGGACTTAGGCTATGGCCTTAGATAGAGCGGAATGGAAAAATATGATTTATGTAGCCGACCCCAAGTAGTTGGGAAAAATGCTCTGTTTGTTGTTGGTGTTGCTGCTGCAAAAACATATATAATTGTTAGGTGTTTGAACATGTAGGGGAAGTTGGAGGATGGGAGAGAGATTGCGGTGAAGAAGTTGTTGCAGAGCTTAAATCAGTGGAAGAAAGAGTTCACGAATGAGGCGAAACTTCTTGCTCGTGTGCAACACCGCTATGTTGTAACATTATTGGGATACTGCACACATGGTGCTGAGAAGCTACTTGTGTATCAGTATGTAGCTAATGAGAGCCTTGACAAGCTTCTCTTCGGTAAGTTCTCTTCTGCTTTAATCTTTTTCAACATTCTATTATTGTCTCAAAGAAGTTCATTGAAAGAAAAAAGAGAAAGAAATAAAGTTGTCTTCTGCTTTAGTCTTTTTCAACATTCTATTATTTGAGTTTTACATCTTGGTTAGGTCCCAAGTTCCAACGAGGATGATTGCATTATTGGCTACTTATGTGACTATAGATGTGTGTTATATTAACTCAAATTTTATAATATTTGTAAATTATGTTAAACAGAGAGGTGTTTGTGCATCAATCACCGTCCATACGATTCATATCAATTTATGAATTAGAGTTGTACATATCAATTAATGGAGTTCACCAAAATGCTATGACACCGAAAAACCCTAGATGAAAAATCTCCACAGCAATCCACCATAACCTCCTCAATCCACGACGAACTCACTGTTCGGTAACCACAGGGCAATGACAAGCAACCAAAATGAGAGCCAGGATCACTGATTTATTGGTTCCATCAGTCTCAGAGGCTAGTTAGATTAAGTATATTTCGTTTTGTTTTTGAGACAGACAGTCTCACCGATATTATCTCCAGCTCCAGTCATATTTGGAAGCATGAAACTGGTGGCACGGAGTTGGAATCATATTTCTGATGATATTTGATCACATGGCGGGACCACCCCATATTGACATTATAGTTTAGAATTCCATTATCATTTGAGTAGAACAGAGACAAATAGGGTTAATACAGAGTGATAGTGATGCTGATCTAAATGGTCTTGATTAGATTTTGGTAGAAAAGATGCCCTTGATTGGAAGCGAAGGTATGATATAATTGCGGGTGTTGCTCGAGGCTTGCTCTACCTTCATGAAGACTCTCACTATCGCATTATCCACCGTGATATCAAGGCTAGCAACATCCTGCTTGACGATAAATGGGCCCCAAAGATTGCTGATTTTGGCAATGACATCAATACCCGCGTAGCTGGTACCAGGTAAGTCATTGAGGACCCTTTCCTTGGGCTTCTTGTTTCTTTTTCTTTTCTTTATTTTTAATTTTTTTTTCCTTTATTATTATTATTATTATTATTTTCCTGTTTTTTATGGTAGTCACTGAATTGGGTATATCATTTCATCAAGTCCACCTCTCTGAACTTTTTGGTAAGGTATCTTGAAAACAGTGGGTACATGGCGCCCGGATATATCATGCATGGATATCTATCTGTGAAGACAGATGTATTCAGCTTTGGAGTTCTGGTTTTAGAGCTAGTCAGTGGTCGAAAGAACTCAGCTTTCAACCCAAGTCTAGATTCTCATAATCTACCGGAATGGGTAAGAATTTTATAATATTGATGGATGCATTTCTTGATTACATCAATTCTGAAACCATCGTCATCACTTGAAGTTGGTAAACAGTGTCTGATTCAGGAATTCTTCTTTGGTGGCCAGTATGCATGTGTGTAAGATTTTATTAAAAAATTCCAGAATTGTTTTCTCGTAACTGGAAATTTAATTTAATCAATGTTTGACAGAAGTTTTACTCCAAGAAGCACGGATAAGGATAAGGGATACAGGTATGACAGGATATGAACACGACAATATAACAAATCTCACAACAATAGGATATGAATATAAAGCATGGATACATCAAAGAATAATAATATAATATATTATTTTATATACAAAATTAAATTTTGCTCATTTAGCGTTAGGGGTTGCATTGCGAATCTGGCCTATAATGGCACATGCTTACTGACCCAAGATTGGATTAGATCTGGTGGATATAAACTAGTCCTAAGAAGTTGAGTTTTTAATTTTACTTTTTTTCTCATTAAATTTCTTGGTGTTTCAGAAACAATGATTGTAATAAATGTCATATGGACCGTGTTCCAGAGCTTAATTTTCTGGTTGTTAATTTTGCTGTTCTATCATATGAAGGAATCCAAAAAGTCATCCCTAAGATAATGCAAAATAAACTCATTGCGATGCAGGCATTCAAGTTGTACAAGGAAGGTAACAGTTTGGAGGTCATGGACCCTGCATTGGTACCATCAGCAGTTCCTGATCAGGTAGCAAAGTGCATACAGATAGGGTTGCTGTGCACACAAGCTGATCCACATTTGCGGCCCACCATGCGTCGTGTGGTGGTAAGTCTATCGAAGGAGCTTGGCACACTCGAAGAACCAATTAGACCTGGACGCCCTGGTTCCGGATATAGAAGGTCTCGCCGCCCCAATTCCTCGTCTTCCACTGCCGGAACTTCAGGGGACTCCAGTTCCCATACATTAGGTTCCACCACCAACACCGAATCTGCAACCGCAACTGCTAGCACATCAGCTCTTACAAACTCAAGATCCACAACTGCAATTGCACCCTGATCCCAAAATCTCTGGTCTGTTCTTCGCCTGTAAATCCCGAACTCAAATCAAATACATTCCTCTCATGGACACAGATACAGATGATGACGTTGTAAAAACCAAGTATTTAGCTCGCTTTCCCTATATGTACGATATCAATACAGTCCTGCAATGGTTTGCTACTTTGCTGTTTTAACTAAGCCAGGCTACGGTCCCAGATCTTACCAAGTTTGCAATTCTGGAATCTTCCCTTGCATTCAGGGGCGGAGTCAGGATTGCAAAATAGGGAGGACTAAAAACAATTAAACCCATGATTATTTAATACGTCATCCATGCTCTAAATATATAATTATCATGCATCAGTTATTCAATTAAACCCAATAATTTACAACTTTCTAACACATTTACACTTTCAAACTCTAATGTATTTTCACAGTCAAGAATTCATTAAAATTTACTTCATACAAGTATTAAAACAAAAAACTACACAAATGCAAGATATATATGTTCCTTATCAATAAATTCACATTAGAAAGAAAAACTTATGTGCACCGCCCCTGACTAGTTATTAATTCATTATATAATAAATTATCCAATTTAACAAGAAATTACCAAATCATCAACAAAGCCTTTTATTTTTATTTTTATTTTTTTACAAAAATAAAATTCAATATTTCATTGGATTAACAATAATAATCTATGATATCCATCCACCTATGCCTTAGTGCCTTACACACGAAGAGTTTAGGTCTTCTTTCATAGACTAACAATGTGTTTGATTTACTAGGTTGGGCCCTATTATATTTATTATGATTTATTTTGTGATTGAACATGTCTATGATTCGTGGACTTACTCATATTTAAGGCTTAACCTTTGCAAATTTTATTACTCTTTTTATTTATAGAAATACTATGGATTGAGCTGGGCTGATAGGAAGAGGAAGAATAGTACATAGACTTATAGGAATAATAGTACTAATTTTTTTTTTTTCAATTGGACCTGGGCTATAGCCCCAGGTTAACCCATTACTAGTTCCTCCCTTGCTTCCATTACTAGTTCCTCCCTTGCTTGCACTAGTTATTGTGCCGACCCTCTATATTTGGCTTTTGATCCTTCCAAATCACTTCACTACAAACTTGTTTTGCTTCAACTTCGAAGAATACCTCTCATAATGTATTCCTGCATTTTGGGGAGTCTAGAGGTCATTTGCATCTCATTTATAAATGTGAAACTAGATTTAGTGTTGACATCTCTAAGATGGAAAGCGATTACTCCAAATGGTTGTTAAAGTAGTACGGTGGTAAATTTTTTATCACGGGAAATGATTGAGCACTGCGGGAGAAGACGAAGGAGATGTGTTTTTGGTGCTATTTGTAGGCAGCAACATGGTATCTCCTACAACATTAAGGACAATGATGCAGCACACCATCCTGGTTACTCTCCTACTCAGCTTTTGCGGATAAACCACTGTAGTGTTTATTGACACATGGAGACACTCTTTCCAGTTTGACTGATGGCACGTTTAATTGCTTGGGTTGGGCAGTCACTGTTTCAGCACTTTACTATTTTGCACTTCCAAGAAAACTTGTTGCGCAGAGAATTCTGGTCATTCGTCACCAATTTGGATAGTTTTATGTCCATAAATTTCGGTTTTTTACAACCATCTTGTTTAATTGTACTCATTCATCACTTGGGTTGTAGCTAATTTCAAATAATTGTAATTTCATTTTCTACCCTAATATTTTGATTTATTGCTGATGTCGTTTTATCTTCCCTTGTTAGTTGTTACTTTGATAATACAAAGAAACTAAGCTCACAATAAAGCAAGATATATGGTCTTCTTTTTCTGCTGCTCATAGTAAAGTTTTACCTCTTGGCTCTTAGAAACCTTGTTAGTTACTCTATTACTTCTCTTATTTCTCTGTTCTTAGAGTGGTTTGGAATAGTTACAGAGATTTTGTAGTCATCATCTAACTAGCAATTTTCTTTTTCTTTCCAATTTTATATCAACTTTTTAAAAATTGGGTTGGCATAGTTTTTTTATTTTTTATTTTTAAGTACCCTCCTTGTCCTTCATTTTATCTCAAAAAATAAGAAGATAGGAAAAGAAAGGACAATGTTTAACTAGTATTTTCATAATTTTAAAACTGTCCTCAACAATTAAAAAAAAAAAATTTATTATACCACTTATATCCATTTTATTTAAAATGATATGATAGTAATTTGGTTGTTATCCTCTCTTTTATTTTCTCCAATCTATCATATCCAAACAAGAATATTATTATTTCTTTTCTTTCCTCTTCTATCTATCCAAACATAAATAGAGATTATTGTTCATTTTATTTTTTTTTTCTTTTCTCTTGTAACTAATATTATTAATTCTTTTCTTCTGTCTCCTATATATCCAAACAAACCCTTAACTCCACTTGTATATAGCCGTTTCTTAATTTCAATAGTAAATTTGGATTAACAAAATGCCAGTTCTAAGGCCCATTTCTAATGAAATACAAGTCTTGTTGTCCAGTTACTCCTTGTGACTGTTTCACCCTTTATCTCTCTAGCACCGGCCGAATTAGGGTTTCTGAGCTTGCTACAGTTTGCTAGGGTTTACCCCCTCTCCGGCATATTGGAGTTTCAGCTAACATTTGGCATCTGCAATTATTGCATTCATTTACCATTCGAAAAAAAAAAAAAAAAAAAAAAATCTATTGCATTAATTCTGTGAGTGGTTTGAGTTACTACTGCTAAACCTCTAAAAATTGAAACTTCACCGACCGTGTGGCATCTGCCCTTGTGTAGGGGTACAACTTGGGTTGGGAAACCCGAACCCAACTTGATTTTTTGCAGGCTTGAGTTGAAAACTCTCACCCCGAATTAAATTAGGGTTGGGCTTGGGTTGAAGTGCTAGCAACCCGAGCCAATCCGAATCCGAATTATAATATTATTTTCATATATATATTTACTTTAAAATACATTGTATATAATATTTAAACTATGATTACCTTTTTTTTCTTTTCAACTTCTTTTGTTAAATTTTAACTTATTGTATGTTAACATTTAGGAGACTTAATTTTCTAAGAATTTATTTGTAATTTATTAAAAATCTACAAAAAAATCTTTGACCATTTTCTTTTCTAAGAATAATTTAATGTAAAACTAATTCAAGATCATATTAAATTTTCGGTGTAAGATTAGCTATATGAGGAACCCAAATTAACCCGAAGTTTTAACACAAAATCTAAGCTCGAGTTGTAAGTCCGAATTTGAAAGTAGAAGGATGGGTTGGGTTCGGGTCTAGTAGTTAGGGTTGAGGATAGGGTTAAGGTTGGGCTTAGATTTAGCATTTCATATGGTGGATTGGGCTTAAGTTATACCCCGCCTAGCCCGCCCGAGTTACAGCCCTACCCGTATGTGAGTGGTTTGACGCGAACTGCCTTTTATTTATATTACATTGACTGAGAAAATAGATTCATATTAACCTTTGGACTTCAAAATTTGTGTCCCTCTTTTCCATTTTTATTGTTTTTAATAATTCTGTCCTAATATATATATATATATATATATATATATATATATATATATATATATATATATGTAGAACTTCCAGTGGTGGGAGCACCAATTAACCCGAGAGATTCAATTGGGTATGGCTATATGGAACCCACAATGTGTTTGAATAAATGGCCAAAATAGAGCATAGATTTTTTTGCCTAAGCAGACGAGCTTTTGCTGGATTGCTAGCCATATAATGGAAGATTGGTGGGGAATATTGGAGGATCTCCACACCAGAAAAGTCCAATCGACTAGGGGGAATTTTGACGTTCCACATGGTGTGTGTGGAGAAGAGGATGTTGACACTTATATGTGTGGACTTTTTAGACAAGTTTTGAAAATCGTGAACACGGAGAGTGTGTAAAGCGTGCATAAGCTTTCTCCACAACCTACTGCATTGCTGAGGTATGTTTAGCTCCCAAACACATCTATGCTTTATTAATTGCTTTGAGATCCATTTTGCCCAAATGATGTGATCTTTTTTTTTTTTTTTTTTTTTTTTTTTTTTTGGTGAGAATTACAAGTAAGTATTATAAAGAGTTCTTGTTGATTTTTCAGATATGGTCATATTCGAAGGATATGAATTCTTAATGCTACACTTCATAGACTCACTGTAGTACTTGATGCTTTCATATATTTTTTAAATATTTTATTTTTACTGTTTCAGATGCATGTGGATCCTCTTGAACAAACTGTGATCAAAGATGAAAAGTAAAACTGAATTGTTGGTTATTGATGTTTGAATTTCTTTTTATATTTAATTTTGTTTATGTCTAGATGCAGAATAGAAAATCCCACACCCAACTCTGTAAGATCATAAGTGTAACATCCTATTTAGCCATATGATTGAATTTAGATTACATTACTCAAATGAGATTTTGACGTTAAATGAGCAAACCCTAGGACATAGACCAACCATTAACTTTAAATTACATAATTACAATATTTGTTTGGTTGAAGAATCTGCAGGTTGTCTTGGGGGAGAAGACAAGTGTCATGACCCCGAATTTTTTTTTAGTGAAATCCTCGATTTAAACAAATCCAGATACATCAAAATACACCCAGGATCATAAAAAAATACCCTCTTTTATACAAAATCAATTTCCTCAAAATATACATAAAAATTTCCAAAATAAATAAAATAAATCCTACAACGCCGACTCTTCAGCCTAAGCCCATATCTAGCAATTTTCGTTCATCTTCGGTACCTGAAACTAGAGGGTGGTGAAACAAAAAGTCCAAGTAAGAAAAACCATAACAAGAATTTCATGGAGGTTTAACAAAATAGCTTCACAAAACATACATATTCATGTGAGTATATAAACAAAACAAATATGCATTTAATCAAAACATTTAATAAAAACTATTGAAGCAAAACCTCCCCATGCCATTCAAGGTATAGAAAACCCTACACTGAAAAAGAATTTCTTCACTGGATCACCAAAATCACCAAGCTTCCGGCCGCCTCTACAACTCTTGACCCTCTGTCTATGTTCTCAAACTCATACTCTAATGTTTTTTCTCTCGGCTCATTCTGCCCTCAAACTCTCTCTCTTTTCTTTAGTTAACTCAATGTGCATACACACACTAAAATTATAATGCCTCCACCGACTTACCACTGCTCACCCATCACCTCTCCATCAGACAAAACCAAAAACTTCACTCCAAATGTCACCTAATGGTTCCACCACATTATTACCTTATTTCACTTTTCTATAAATTCAAATCTCTATCTGACATGACTTAACAACACACTAATTTAGCCCACATGAAGGAAATTCAAAGCTAAAGACTCTTGGGTAAAAAAAAAATCTCTTTGTGGGTCCCACGACTGCATCTCCATTACAATCTCAATTTCTCTCTCTTCCCACTCCCACTTTGCTTCCTTCTTATCCCAATCTTTCAATTACCCAACAGT